ATTTGCCTACATACCTACTCACCCCCTCCCACCCACCCAAAAACCACTCCCGGCCTCAAATTTCCTATCGATTAGAAGATGAGAGGGAGAAAAAAAAGAGCAGAGTGACACTTTCTCACACATCCTGCTCTCTGCGGGGGAGGATCTGTGTGTGCGCGTGCATTTAACCATGTGTGCAACTTGAATCCACTGGGAGTTGCTAATCAATACAGGCTGGATGGGTATTGGCAAGCTCTGATTAAAGACAGTCAGTCAAAGCCTTCAGTCAGTTGTGGAGACTGCAAGGAGGAGAACACGTCATTCTGTGTGTGTATATGGTGTGTGTGTATGTGTGTGTATCTGTGTGTGTGCTGACAGGGACTGAAAGACAGCGACGGCAGACGGCTGCTGCCTCCATTAAATGAACAGCAGTCACGCAGAGTGAAGACGGAAGAAATCAATAAGTGTCGAGATTTCAGCCAGAAATGTAAAGAGATGATTATTACGCTCTAAAGGCCATGTGTGTGTGTGTGTGTCACAGACCTGCCCCTGCTGTCTTTTGTTGTTTGGATTACATCATCGCCTCATGTTACGACTATGTAAGCCTGTCAGCTGTTGACTGTCCATCCCAGCATTGTTTATGTGACTGTGTGTGTGTGTGTGTGTGTGAGGTCAGTCCAGGGCAGCTACCGTACTGCCTGTCTCTTCAGTAAAGATCATGAAGGGAAAATGTGAGTCAGCACCTTGCTGCTCATCAAAGAAGCGATGGGATCGATTAGGGCTTTATTCTGTAAATATTTTTATGACGGTGCACTAATGGAGGAGGAAACCAGGCGTCCCGCTCTGCACTGTGTTTGTACTAATGCACTGAAATGTCCTGTGAGTGCAGTGAGTCATCATTACCACGCGGTATTTCCATCCGTTGTCATGAATAAAGCACACACAGTAGTACTGTTGGTAGCGTTTACTTTAAGAACATCAGTGGTGTTATTTGTAGTCTGTTTACTCCAGGATCATGTTGCAGTGCACACCATGGCTAATTTAGCTCTGATGCTCTTCATACTGAGAGAATGAATGAAGGCCCCCGATGTCTTCAGCTACTGGAGACGTAGGATATGGTACTTTACTAGAAAAACTCAATAAACATTTGAAGAGACAACTGTTTGTGTTGTGTTAACAATAGTGATGTCAGTTTGATTTGGTTAGCTCAGAGCTGTGGGATATTAAATCGTCCATCTTTGTTCACTACATGCTAGCCTTTCTTACCCTCAGGTGTGTAAAAACTACAGGTTATGTACTTAATTTTAAAATTAAAAGAAGTGAAATGATGAGTTATTTTATTGGTATCAGCCATGTGAAGCAGGTAATTATTGGTCAATGTATCGGCTGGAAAATAAATCCATATTGTGCCTCTCTAACAATGTTTAGTCTGCTAAAACTGTGCGATTGCTGTCACTTTACCTGCTCCAGTTTGCTACATGTGCTGTCTGTGCCCTTTAGCAGTAGCTGAGCTCTCTTAATCTTAATAGGCGTTTTTAATGCAGATTGGACATGTCACAGTAGGAAACGCAAAGGTGTGAATAAGTTGATAATGGCTGAATCCCATTTCGCTGCTTCAGTTTCAGGTTTTATTCTCTGTCACGCTGTCACGGCTCATTGGGACACTTGAATACAACAGAGCCACCACTAATGTTATTAGTAACGCTTTTCCTGCTCTGAAGACAAAAAGTCTGCTGTGAAAAAGGCCTGTAACTGGAATCCTGCTGATATTTCTCATCATATTTTCCATCTTAGCAAAACTGACTAAGAACACAGTGGCATTTAAAGCATGCAACACTGTTTCTGAATAACAAAAAGCAGGAATTTAGTAAAGATACTTTAACCTGTTATTTATGAGACATTTTTTGTAAAACATATTATCTAAATACTAAGTCAGACATGTATATTGCACAAGCAGTTGGGGGCGAATTGAATTTGTTACTGTCTCTGCTGCTGACCTTAAAATGTTTCTTAAAAGAGTCCTTCACCAATTTAGCATTGCACATTTATAACATTCATGATGGAGATATTGCCTTTTAAATTCCATGCATTCTATTTCCTGGTCAAAGCCTACATCACCCACAATGCAACTCAAACGCCGACAGTCGGTTGGAGATTCAGGTGGGTTATGCCACAAGTGTCACAGACCACTGACAGAGAAAAACAGGCACACTCAGTGTGTAAATATTTCACAGTTGGTCGGACACAGAGCTATTATA